CAGGCGTGCGCCACCATGCCCGGCTCATTTTTTCTATATATATTAATTGGCCAATTAATTTATTTCTATTTTATAGTAGAGACGGGGTCTCGCTCTTGCTCAGGCTGGTTTCGAACTCCTGACCTTGAGCGATCCACCAGCCTCGGCCTCCCAGAGTGCTAGGGTTACAGGCGTGAGCCACCTCGCCCGGCCCCGTTCCAGCTTCTTAATCAAGCACCCCCAGAGTATGGTTCCACCCAAGCTCCCTGGCCTGCTGGCACTGGTGACTAATTCCTGCAGGTCATATGTGCCTTTTCTCTGTCATTAGGCCCCCGCACTGCCCCAGCGGGGTGACCCTGACTTACAGACTTAGAATAGGAGGCAGGGGTAGGCGCTGATGGGGCACAGGTGTCCTGCTGGGGAGAGGCCTCTGCGTGGCCCTGGAGCAAGGGTCCGAGACTGGCAGTGCTGGCTCCTAACTGGGAGGGCTGGGCCCCATCTGAGGATTCAGGAGCCCGGGGCATGCAAATCTTCAGGACACTACACCCGGCTGTCTCCAGCCATGTCTCCATCGCTGCGTCAGGGGCCCAGATTTTTCTGACCAGGACTGTGCCTTTGGTATGACAGACCTGCCTTGACTAAGTTATCTAGCCAGCTTTGAAATCCAAATTATCTGACTGTTAAATCCTAGGCTCACGCCTGTAATCCTAGCACTCCGGGAGGCCAAGGCGGGAGGATCGCTCAAGGTCAGAAGTTCAAAACCAGCCTGAGCAAGAGCGAGACCCCGTCTCTACTAAAAATAGAAAGAAATTCATTGGCCAACTAAAAATATATAGAAAAAATTAGCAGGGCATGGTGGCGCATGCCTGTAGTCCCAGCTACTTGGGAGGCTGAGGCAGGAGGATGGCTTGAGCCCAGGAGTTGGAGGTTGCTGTGAGCTGGGCTGACGCCACGGCACTCTAGCCCAGGTAACAGAGTGAGACTCTGTCTCGAAAAAAGAAAGAACAAAAAAGAAGGCATTACCCACTCCATTTTCGTCTTGGGTGAACTGAGACTCGGAGAAGTCCAAGGTCTTACCTATTTCCCTAGACCGGCAGGCGTGAGCCCCTAGACAGCCTCCATGACTGGGCTCACTCCGGGAGCTCACAGAGTTAACCTGGGTCTTCTGTGACGTTCAACAGGAGCGTTGTGTGCATTGTCATCCAAGTCCCGCGTTGTCTAGGTTCCATCCATCACTCCCCAGCAATGGAAGAAGTCCATCGTTTAAAATCCTGATGTTGCCAGTGGCTCGTCCCTACCCCAGCCCCTGCCCCCACTCTGAGCCCCTGCCCTCTGGCCTCGTAAAGTAGGACTGATGGTGCAGGGCTGAGCGGGGAGCCTCATCTCACTTTCCTCTCACGAGGCCATTCCTGCTGGGAGTGCGGATCACACGCAGAGATTCTCTTCGTGCAGCCTGTGATGCGGTCCACAGACCAACGCCCGTCCACACTCAGAAACCATCCTAGTAATTCGACAGAAAAATTTTACATCTCTTGAACCCAATAACAGCAACAACAAAATGGACTTGTAATTTGCATATTCTTTTTTCACTTTTCTTTTTTTTCCCCCTTTTTTATTTATTTATATATTTTTGAGACAGAGTCTCCCTCTGTTGCCTGGGCTAGAGTGCCGTGGCCTCAGCCTGGCTCACAGCAACCTCAAACTCCTGGGCTCAAGCAATCCTCCTGCCTCTCAGCCTCCCGAGTAGCTGGGACTACAGCCACCACGCCTGGCTAATTTTTTTTATTTTTGATAGAGATGGGGGTCTCGCTGTTGCTCAGGCAAGTCTCCTGATCTCAAGTGATCCTCCCACCTCGGTCTCCCAGAGTAATCCCCTGCTAGGATTACAGCGTGAGCCACCACATCCTCCCTTTTTTTTCTTTTCATTTTTCTAGTAATTCATTTTTATTATACTTTGCAGCAATATTACACTTTAAAAAAAAATTTTTTTTTTGAGACAGAGTCTCACTCTGTTGCCCGGGCTAGAGTGAGTGCTGTGGCGTCAGCCTCACTCACAGCAACCTCAAACTCCTGGGCTCAAGCGATCCTCCTGCCTCAGCCTCCTGAGTAGCTGGGACCACAGGCACACACCTCCGTGCCCGGCTAATTTTTTCTAGATATTTTTAGTTGGCCGATTAATATCTTTCTATTTTTACTAAAAAAAAATATTTTTTTTTACTTTTTAGAGAGGAGTCCCACCGCTCCACTGGGGCCGAGTCGTGGGAGCCCAGTCAGGTCGCCCGCTCTGCGCTCTCCAGCAATATTAGATTGAAAAATTAAAAGCAAACCAAAGCAAAGCAAAACAGAATTGGTCATTCACCACGGTCCAGAAGACCTGGCTGGAGTCCAGGCTCTCCCACTGCATGCTCACAACTTGACCTTGGGTGACGACTCAACCGTGTGACTCTTCAGTTACCTGCTAGGTAAAAGGGATAATAACAGTGCCCGCCCAGTGCCCGCCCCACAGGGTTGCCGAAAGACTGCAGATGAGATAACACATGCAAAGCACTTCCCTGCCTGCTTAAACAGTGACGCCTCCTTCCCACCCCCTCCCAGGCCTGCCTCTGACTCTGCAATGATACATGCCAGAGACCAGGAGAAACCCAGCTCGACACACAGCCATGGAGCAATAACGGGTGGGGACGGCAGAGTCATGCCTCTTAAGGAGTCCGGGAACAGCAGGAGGCTGGAAAATCCCTTCTGGAGAAAGCAAGTGTGTGGTACAGGGGTGCCTGTGTTAGGAACAGGACCAACGTATGAAGGGGACCAGAATATGTCACCCCAAAATATGCCACTCTGGCATAAGGGTTATTTTGAGCTGAAGGTCACTGAGAGATAGCAGACGCAGGAGGAGCTCTCTGCCCTCCCCCATCTGCCTAGAAGTAGGGCCCACATTTCCCTGGGACGTTTCCTCCCTCTCCTGCACCAGAGACTGGGGTGGCACCAGGGGTCTGCATCTAAAACAATGACTAAATAATCCTTTTCTACCAGTAGTTTCCCCCATATGTTTACTTTCTCACAATTTATTGCCATTAGAAGCCCAAACTCCTTTTCTCTTTTTTTTGTGAGACAGAGTCTCACTCTGTTGCCCAGGCTAGAGTGAGTGCCGTGGCGTCAGCCTAGCTCACAGCAACCTCAAACTCCTGGGCTCAAGAGAGCCTCTTGCCTCAGTCTCCCGAGTAGCTGGGACTACAAGCATGCGCCACCATGCCTGGCTAATTTTTTCTATATGTTTTCAGTTGGCCAATTAATTTCTTTCTATTTTTAGTACAGACAGGGTCTCACTCTTGCTCAGGTTGGTCTCGAACTCTTGACCTTGAGCAATCCTCCTGTCTCAGCCTCCCAGAGAACTAGGAATACAGGTGTGAGCCACCGTGCCTGGCCCCAAACCCCTTTTCTTATCTGGTCACTTCTCCACAATTTTTTACTCTTTGTTAAAATGGTATATAAGCCCCCCCCCCCCAGTCTAACTGCTTCTTTGGATTTTCCTTTCTTTTCTGTGTAGCTCCTACGGATATAAAATTAAAAACATCCATTAAATTAAATGCTTTTTCTCTTGTTAATCCGTCTTTGGTCAGCTGTGTTGCCCAGCAACAGAATCAAAGACGGTAGAGGAGAAGTTTTTCTTTCTCTGCACCTGTTCTAATTAGTGGTAGACCCTGAGCTCCTTGAGGGCTGATGTCCCACCTCCCATCAGCTTCTTGGCCTAGCGCCTTGCCTGCCATGTTAGCAGCATTCCGGGGTCCGGGTGGGAGGCCTGCAGCTTACCCAGTCACTGCCAGGCCACTGGGAGGTCCAAGTCGCTGGCAGGGGGAGAGGATTAGGGCCGGGAGAGGGAGCCACGGCTGCTCTGGGCTAGTGGCCGTGGGCTGTGGGCTCAGCAGAGGTGGGACTGGAGTGCAGGGGGTGGCAGGGGCAGCAACCAAGCTGCCTCTCCAGCTTGGGGATCCGCTCCCCTCGATTTCGGCACTGCGGGCTCCTGGGAAGAGGCAGTAGGCAACGGGCCATGGATTTGGAGGACCTGGAACAATCAATTCCTTCTAGGGCTGGGAGGCAGACTGGGGGCTGAGAGCAAAACTCACAGAGCAGGGAGGCTTTATGGGCACCAGACAGTGTGACTTGGAGCTGCAAACCCAGCACTCCCTGGCGGGTGGGGACTGCTTCACTCAGGGCTGGTTAGGCAAGCCCGGCCCCAGCTGCCCACAGCCTCGGCTCCGTGCCCACTGCAGAGGAAACAAGAGAATCTCCCTCTCAAAGATGTGTTGAAGAAACCCACTGTCATCACAATATACATAGATTTTTTGCAAAGGACAGGTGAAGATGAATCCAAGCATTCACTGTGTCCCGGGCATTCAGTGTCAGGTGTGGGGGTGGCAGGGCCTTGGCATAAATATCTCGGGCACATGCAGGAAGGCAGACTCGGCCAGCAGTTCTCAGCAGTGGGCACACCGAGCCTCCCGCTTGCTCAGAAGGACCCCCTAAAGGAGGCCCCCCAGGTGGGCCTTGAGCTGAGCCTGTCTGTGTGCTGACCCCATGCTGAGAAGCTGGGCAGGGATGGGACCCTCAGCACAGAGAGCAGGGCTGGCAGCCCCTCCACCCCACTGGAGGGAAGGTGGTGCAGATTCAGCAGGGAGGGACAATGAAGAATGTCCCGTGTGACACCCTCCCACCCAAGTACTAACCAGGCCCGACCCCGCTTGGCTTCTGAGATCAGATAGGATCGGGCACGTTCATGGTGGCAGGGCCGTAGACCTGCTTGAGATCCTGACCTTGTGGTGCAGGGAGGGCAAGACCACCTGGTGAGAGTCAAGAGGTGCATGGAGGAGATGAAGGGGAGGGAGAAGGAGCCAGCTGGGCCAGCGCCCACCAGGATGGATGCCGTGGGGGTTGGTGGAGTCACCACTGAGCGAAGGCGTGGTCTAAGCACCCTGCAAAGGGCGGGCACATAGGAGGCAGTCGGTGCATATTTGGTGAATGAGGGCCCATTCATCATCATTGAGAGAGACAGACAGGTCAGGTGGAAAACACATCCTACGTGAACTTGGTCAGTTACTCCTCTGATGGAAGAGGAAATTTCTCCCCCAGAGTGAGTCACACCTACCCGGGGCCTCCTGCCCCTACCCAGCAGCCTGACTCCGACTTGCCTGAGACAAATCAGGGGGCTGCAGGTGTCGGGGGGCGCTAGCGTCTCTCTTTCTGCAGGACAGAGGCTCTGCCTCCTGACTCAGACGCGCCTCACCCGACACCTTTGGTCCTCCCCTGCGGCCTTCCCGAAGTTGCTTTCTCCACAGTCTTTCCAGAAACCCGAACTCCAGGCTCACTCTCACTTCTTCAACTGACCTGCCTGCAGGACAAGGCCCAGAGGGGGCAGAGCCACCGGGGTGCCCAGTGCAGCTGCCCCCCCGGACACCCATGCCGCAGTGGGGGCCAGTGGCTCCAGCAAGCGTGGATCCTATTGCCCATTCTACTCTGCCTCTCTCTAAACCTCAGTTTCCCTCTAGGAAGTGCCCACTGAGGACAAAGCGTCTTTGGTCCTCTTGCGGCTGATGACTTGGGCGTAACTTCCCTGGGCAAGGAGACCCCTGGAGGCAGCCTGTCCTCTTAGACTTGGCCAAGAATCCCTGGCCCAGGGCACAAGAGCCTGGCACCTGTGCTGCCATGGAAAGGACCAGAGCTTGCTCCCCAAGGGCCTGGATCCCCTGCCAGTCCTGCCACCACTCCCCGCCCCCAAGAGCCCTGCCCAACCTGTCCTACAGGTGGGTCTGGCTCAGGGCCAGCAGCCCAGCACCCAACTCATTTACGGGAAGGGAGGATGTAAACAGAGGACAAGGGGCGGGCAGAGGACAAAGGCAACCTGGCTCTTTTGTTTGTCCCTCACTCAGCTCTGAGGCTGCTCGCATCACACCTGGGGGGCTGGCACCCTAGCCCCTGGGACCTGCCCATGCAGGGGCAGCATGCAGGGCCCCAAGCTACCCCCATCGCCCCTCCAGGGTTTTACCTCCCCCTTCCCCATCCTGTGCCTGTTGCCAGGGCTGTCCTCCGCCAGCCTGTCCTCCCTCCCGGCGTGGTCTTGGCCTAGGCAAGGCCCTCCCCACTCAGCCTACGGCCAGGACTTGAGCAGAGAGTGGCAGGTGCTGAGTCAGTGGCCAGCAGGTGCCACGTGGCCTGCTCAGCGGGGCAGGAGGCCCTTGGGTTTCGTTTTTCCCCAGGAGAAGACAGAGGCTGGCAGGCTGGGACGCCCGGTAGCGCCTCAGCAGCAATCAGCGGGAACCCAGGCAGTGTGAGAATACTCACGATCCACTTAGGACGCTTACAGTGCGTGGTCCGCAGGAAATTCAAAAAGTTCTATGTGTTCCACAAATATTTCTCGACTATGCACCACATTTCAGGCCCTCTTCTAGGGACTGGGAGGTACCAGTGAACAAAACGAAGACCCTGCCTGCCCAGTTAGCCTCCATTCTAGAGGGTGGGAGGCATGAAACAAGATAAATACACAAATGTGTCCTTCCTCCTTAGATAGATACTGACGGTGCTGGGGAGAGAGAAAGCACAGGAGGTGTAGGGGACGGGCTGCCGGGGAGGTCTCCTTACAAAGAGGTTGTTTGAGTAAAGACCTGAAGCCAGAAAGGGACAGACCCTGGTGAACCTGGAAGGGAGGAACGTTCTGGGCAGAGCAAGGAGGCAACACAGGCCTTGAGGCGGGAGCGTGTGTGGCAAGTTGGGAGAGCAGGGGAGAGGCCAGCGCACCTGCAGAGGGGCGGGGAGGGCGCCAACACAGAGCTGGGGGACAGTCCCCAGGGCGCAGTAGGGGCTTGGCGTGAACTTAGGTGAGATGGGAGCGTGTGTATGTGGGGGGGTTCTGAGCAGTGGAACATCATGAATTCATTAATGATTTAACTGGATTGCACTGGCTGCTGGATAAGACAATAAAACTGTTAGCTATCTGTTTTGAAAAATTTTTTAAATTATAGCAAAATATGCATAACATCAAATCGATCATTTGAACCATTTTAAAGTGTATAGTTCTGTGGCATTAAGACAGTGCCACCATTGCCACCATCCATCCCCAGGTCTCTTTGCATCCTCCCAAACTGACACTCCATTAAATAATAGCTCCCTGGCCGGGCGCGGTGGCTCACGCCTGTAGTCCCAGCACTCTGGGAGGCCGAGGTGGGAGGATCGCTTGAGCTCAAGAGTTGGAGGCCAGCCTGAGCAAGAGCCAGACCCCCATCTCTACCATAAATAGAAAGAAAATTAGCCAAACAACTAAAATAGAAAAAATTAGCAGGGCTTGGCAGGGGGTGGACGCGGAGAGGGTGGGTTCGGAATTCCAACGTTTGGGAAGAGGAGAGAGTTCTGGAGACGGGTGGTGGGGATGGCTGCACAGCAATGTGGCTTTAATGCCACAGAAATGTATGCTTAAAAATAACTAAAATGGGACTATGTCTATGTTACTAATACTGCAATTTTTGAAAATCCCAGTTCATAAACATAATATTTTAATGTGATACCTGGAAAGTTAAATTTAATTAGAAGTGAATTGAGACCTTGGGGGAAAAAATTGAGACATTTTACCTAAATAAAATTTAATTCCAAAGGGAACTTTACATGTTTATGTCTCTACAAGGATTTGACTGTACATTAAAGTGAAATAAGCCAGGCAGAAAAGGACACAGACTGCACGATTCCACTCGCCCGGGATGCCTAGAGTCTCTCCTCTTCCCAAACTTTGGAATTCCAAACCCATCCTCTCCGCGTCCACCCCCTGCCTGGCCCTCCCACCCACCATCCTACTTTCCGTCTTCATGAATTCGCCTGTTCTAGGTTCCTCACATAAGTGGGGACATACGATATTTGTTCTTTTGTGTTGTCCAGCTTACTTCACTTGTGATGTGAAGGGCAGGCGACGTAAGGAGAAAACATTGCAATGCTTGACAGTCGAGGAGACGTGCGGGTGAGACATGGTACAGGCGCGACTGGAGCCGGGAAACTCAACAGGCTGTGGGAGCAGAGGCCTTCTCGGTCGTCCCTGTGTCTGAGGACAAGCCCACGACCAGATCTGCTAAGCAGGGGCATTCCGGAAGCATGTTGGGAGCAGGAGGA